CCCCCCCCCCCCCCCCCCCCCCCCCCCCCCGCCCCCCCCGCCCCCCCCCCCCCCCCCCCCCGGCCCGCGGTGTCCTTAATTGATGGAATTCTAATGATTTCTGATAAAGTTTTAATGCTGAATGACAATTTTCTTTTTCATCAAAATAAATTAAAACAATTTTTTTATGTAAATTAGTTTATGTAAAACAATTTTACTTATGTCGATTATTAATTTCTGTTGTTGTTGTTGTATCGTGTACTGTGTATTTATGAGAACATTAAAACAAGTATGTCACGCTATATAACGAAAGAAGAATGATACGCAACAGTGATTTCAGATGATGATGCAACGCGGTATTTTCCAACTGACAAAGTACTTTTGATTTGAGAAATGAAGAGCGAGATAAATGGATATTGTTTCTGCGGAAGTACAAAAATGGAACGTTTGGAGAATATGGAAGTAGGATGCTAATAACTTTAGGGGTGGGACGTTTTAGATTTATCACCACTGAGTGCACTTCTGTAATCATCAATTTCTCGTAGTCTCAAGTTTTTCTCTCTCCTAAGTTTTATTTACAGCTTTTTACGAATGTGTCCGACCATATCACATGGGATATTGTCTTTTCACTCACTTTCATATCTTGCAATTCCTCAGATGTTCTCATTCCGTTCTGGATGTCCGTAAGCACAGTCTTACACTTTAAAACCTACTTTGCCTAGAATACATACTGTAGACTATGCGTAGGCATCTGCAGTTTACCTTTCACTAGCAGAGATCAAAATTTTACTCTCCACCAGCGGAATTTTAAATTCTAGTGAATTTTAATTCTTACTGCAATATAGTCATTTTGTTTAACTCGTCTTCGATGAACTTTTCTGCTTCGACTTTATCTTCTAGAGACATAAAATCGTGTACTTTTGGGTCAGGTAAAGCTGAGGCCTAGTCAAAATTAGTCATATTTTAAAGCTGTTTCTTCATGGAAAGTGTTTATTAAACTACCATTATCTATTTCAAAAAGCAGTGGCGCCTCTTGTTTTATGAAAAAAGTTCAAACAAAAGAGATAGAGGCTTGCGGCTTTTACCAGCTTGTACCTAAGTCCTGAAAAAATGATCCTGCATCATAAAGTTTAAAACATTATCTCAGGTGGTGTACCTGACTAGTCTTTGCCACAGTAGATTGGTGTGTCGAAACCAATCTGTGTTATTGATTTTTTAAAAATAGGGTGAAAAGTTTTTCTCAAAAACTTTTCGTTTGATTTAATGGTTTGAAGAATGGAACTGAGAATCGAATGATTATAGCTAGAAAGAATTCGTGTTTTTCAATGTTAGCTATGTTCAGTTCCATGACGGACCTTCTTCTAAGCTATATGCTGAATACGCTACATTTCCTACCATGGATCAGATATGAAAATATGACGATTAACAGGTCTTTTTTCTGCATCATTATGCATCTGAAGTTATCTTCCGAGTTTAGCAAGTCTTACTTACCAATATGACATTTTTTTTGAAGTATACCCACATTTGATTCAAAATAATATTTGAACGTTTTCAGGATCATATGTTTGATAAGAGTTTCGCTTTCCATCGTTTTATCTTCGAGATAAAACGATAATAAGAATAACACCAAATAGGTAAGTGGCAGAGTTGGGTAACTTTGTCCACTAAGTGGGTTTTTTTTGATTGGTTGATTTATATTTTAGTAGCCACAAGTAGATGATAGATAGTGAAAACAAAAAAAGGAACACAAATATACATCTTTACATAAACAAAAACAATCTACTGGGAAGGCAAAAACAGTTCTGAGAATCTATAAACTTTGCCACCTTATTTTAAAACGATTAAAGCTCAAGATAGTTCGTGAGCTGTACAGCTTCGGGAAAGGTTAAATTCCAGTCTCGGGCTGTTTGGCAGATAAATGATTGGAGAACGGTTTCTGTTCTAGCAAAGGAAGTTTCTACTGTTCCCGAATGATTAAGACGGCTTGATCTTCTAGACTGGTTGTATTGGATAAGGTTTAGTCTAGATAAAGGAGAGAGGCTGTTAAGGATTTTGAAAAAATAGATAAGACGAAAGTATTTTCGCTTTACCTGAAGTAAAGGTAGATTCAATCTCCTAACTAAATTCTAACTAGGAGTAGAAAAGTTTGGAGTAACCATATGGGCTGCTAGATATTGGATGGACTCAAGACGAGACACATGAGCCGTGAAAGTGGTGTCATATTAGGTACCGGCATAATCTAGCTTACTGAGCATACAATTCTTATAGATTTGAAGACAAATATGAGAGGGTGCTTGTTTAAACTGTCTGTACATAGCTCCAAGGCGTTGCCGACAGGTTCGAACAAGATTTTCTATATGAACTCACCATCTCAGTTTACAACTTATTTCGAGCCGTAGTAAAATAAGGCTTTTCTCGCGCTTTATGTTAGAGCCATCTGGTAAGGTAAATTTGAAATCATTTGCCATATCAGGGCTATTGGAAACGAACATCCACGCGCATTTTGATGAGTTTAGAGTCATAAGATTGGAGCTGCGCCAATCACTGATTTTATTTGGATGAGATGTACAATCAGATGAGGGTACAATCATCGGCAAAGAGGATAGTATCAGCCGGTAGGTCTACAACGGTAGGAAGGTCATTAATGAGCATTTAGGAATAGCAGAGCACCAACGATGGAGCCCTGTACTACTGCTGATATTACAGCAGTTGGCATAGACAGTTTAGAGCCAACTCTTACTTGCTGGAAACGGTTGGAAGGGTAGTTCGTAAACCATTGTAGAACTATTTTAGATGGGCCTAACGCTAACAAACGAGAATTGATTATTTGATAGGGAACTTTGTCAAAGGCTCATCATCATCATTCTTATCAACCACAATATCACCAAAATCATTATGAACATCATCGTGGTCCTCGTTATCAAAATCAACAACGAGGAAGTGAAGATTTACAGTAGAGGATGAATCAGATGGGGATGCCTCCGAATTATTTGCCATCAGAAAACCATCATTAATATTCATAACAACAACTGTCAAAACCAAGAACATAAGAATAATGATTGAAACCGGAGCAACTAATTCCAGTATCCCCGAACGAACTCATCGACAAACAAAACACAAAAAATTCATTAGTAAAAATCATCAAAAATTAATTCTGGCAGATGGGCATTCGCCTTTAGACGTTATTGGAAAACTGGAATTAGACATTAAATTAAGATCAACTGTTACAACGATTCAAGCAGTGGTAGTCAAGCATCTTAGTGTGGAATGTTTATTGGGAACGGATTATATCAACAAATATAAAATGAATATTGATGCGGTAATTGATCCGGTTCGTCTTATTAATTCTGTTATTATTTCTCCGTATGAAGAATATTCACTTAATGTATCAGCTGGGATCTCAAAAGCAACTGTAATTTTCGAATCATCATTCAATTTAAAACAGCAAATTCCACTGTTAATGGCTAATGCTCTGATCAATGTACATCATCATACAATCACAATCCCTTTGTACAACCCATCACCATATCCACAATATTTATCAAAAGAAATTATTTTGGAAACTTTTCGGCTATCAACAGATGATCCTGATTTTTCTACAACACCAGTAATCAATCATAATCGATGAAAAGAATCAACATTCAATGTTAAAAAATGCTTTACTCAATAACAAGAAACCATTTGATAATTCCAAGTCAACAGTTGCCACAACAACACTTGTTCATACAATCAAAACAAAAGATAATCAATCACCACCATTTGACAAGCAATATTCATATTATGGTGAGAAAAAAACGGCTTTAGAAAAGATCATCAACAAATTGTTGGCTGCTGGACAAATTGGTGAAGCGCATTCCCAATACAAATCACCTGCTTTTCTAGTTGGCAAACCTAGTGGCGGTCATCGTCTGGTAATGAATTACAAAAGATTGAATGATATTACAATAAAGGATGGATTTGATTTACCCAATATGGAAGAAACTATCCAACAACTTGGCCATGGAAAAAATCATTATTTTTCAAAACTTGATTTAAAATCAGGCTTCTGGCAATTTTCAATTGACAAAAAAGATCGTCATAAGACGGCATTCAGCGCTTTCGGAAAATTATATCAATGGAATGTCCTTCGTCAGGGTCTTAAGCATACTCCATCATCGTTTCAACGAATCATGTCAAAAATTTTGGAACCATGCATTGGCTTTTCATTGGTTTACCTTGGTGATATAATTATTTATTCCAAATCGTTCAGTAACATTGTCAACATTTTCAAAACGTTCTGAATCTGTTACAACAAAGCAGCCTCCAACTTAACACCATCAAATGTGAAATTGCCAAGCAAGAAATTGATTATTTAGGCCACAATCATCAGATGGCATACAGCCATTGAATGAAAAAGTGCAAGCAATTCTGAATCTGGCAGAACCAAAAGCTCTCAAACAAGCAAATGAATTTGTTGGAAGTTTGGCATTTTACAGAAAATTTATTTGAGCGTTTGCCAGAGTTGATGCACCAATTCACGCTGTAAATAATTCAACCAAAGCAAACAACACAAGTTCAAATGGAAATATGAACAAAGTCATGCTTTCAAACAATTGAAGAAACTGTTGGTACAAGAACCTTTATTTTTACATTTCCCAGACGATTCAAAACCAATAAGTCTCACAACTGATTTTTCAATCATTGGTATTTCTGGTGTTTTGCAACAAGAAAATGAAGGACACACAAGACATTTACATTATGATAGTTAATTATTGGTTCAACATCAAATAAATATACAAACTTTTGGGTTTGTATTTTTCGCACGATCTAAGCTAGAAACCTCATTTTAAAATAACTGCTTTAACTTGCCGTCGCATGTTAGATGCCATAACATGCTGAAGCTCCGGCTTTTCTTCGTCTTTACCTTTACAAAACTTGCGTTTTGGCCAAACTTGATTATGGCAGCGCAGTTTTTGATACTAAGTTTATCACGCACACTAGACCTTTTGAGTCTGTCCAAATGCGTGCCGCTCGACTGATAACTCGACAGTTCGACTATACTACAGATAGTGTCAAACTCGCTAATGATTTAGGCCTTCCTAACTTGACTAATCGCCGTCTCTATTTTCGTCTAGTTAACTAGTATCGTATATTCCATCGTCTTTGCACTTTAAACCGCGATGAGCTCATTACCCAACCACCTGTTAATATAGGAGGTCTGAGAGACTTAATGCAAGTCTGAATCCTCTACGTGTCGTTGTACCGTTTACTACTCTAACTAATGTTCAGTATTTTCTTTTCTACTCTACTTCGTCTGATTGGAATAATTTACCTTCGTATGATGTATCAACATCTAATGTTAAATCTTTTAAAAGCAATTTAAAATTGTATTTGAGTTCGTTCTGATCTGTTATATACGTGTATACTACTTCTCTATCAGGTGTATGTCTGCCCCTTTTTGTTGTAGTTATAAGCTCTTATGCTTTTTGATGTACCCCTTTTGACACAATTCATGTAACATTGTGTTTTATTACTGTTTTTTTCTATTGTCAATATTAAGAAAAAGAAATTGTTTTTACTTTTTATAAAATAAAAGAAAACATCAATTTTCTTTACTTTCTAAAAGTAAAGTAAAAAACCTGTTTTACTTTTTTTGTCATGATAAAAGTACATTTTTGGGCACAAGAATGGTATAATATTGAGATTAATAGAAAGTACAAATCACGAGCAATTTATTCCAGAGTTGATACTATCCCTTTCACGTTTAAAAAGTAGATTAAATCCTATATTTAGTTTTTAACAGTAAATATAAGTTTTAACCCTTTCTTTTTACTTCTGTAAAGTAGAAATTTTTGCTGATTTTATCTGATAAAGCAAAAATAGTAAAAGTAAAAGCGCCACCACTAACATTTGCAACAAACTTTACAGGTGTGTTTCACGGGAGAAGTTACTCTGTAACATGGCTATGGTCTCTAATCCTAAATTGACCCAATCTCGGTATACCGATATTCAAGGTGAACCGATCGGTAAACTACTTGTACCTATCAAGGGTTATCAAAACGAACCACTTCTACCGTTAGAAGAAGCAGTAAAACCGATTCAACAGTTCTTCAATAATCTCGAGGAACATGTGTGGATTGCGAAGGAAAATTGCCAAACTCCAAAAGACGATCTCACACAGGACGAGGCAGCCGCCATACACCTTTACACCATGCAATTCGATTCAGGTGAAAGTCTGTATCAAGTATTAAATCGAACACTGCGAGCAGAAAACCGTGATGGCCTGAAATCGTGGTTTTTATACCTGAAACTGTTTTTGACTGCTTTGCATAAACTTCCGTCTCAGCCACAGACAACGGTTTGGAGGGGTGTTCGGAATGTGGATTTGAGTGAAAAGTACAAGACTGCCGTCAGGTTTGCTTTGGAACTATGGTTAAAAGATGTCCATGCGGCAAATGGCCGACTGCTAGCGTGAGTGTGCGTTGCGAAAGGGGTACAACCAAAAAACAGTTTGTCTGAAAATGTGTCCATTCTCGCCCAGATACAAAATCATAGCTATGAAACAAATTCTTAGGCCTTAGAGCGTTATAGTGACGGGAAAAATCAGTGTTGACTTATGGATAGAACGAGTATTGGGTATCATCTTCAGTGTTTTCAATTTTTTGACGTTCGTTCATGTCGACTCTTTTGCAATAGTAGTATATTGGCACGTTAAAACAAAATGAATTTTTTCTAAAGAACTGGATTTTTTCATTAAAGCAAAAAAGATTGTTACGGATTTTTGGGCTTTTCAATACCACTTTTTGTACTCGAAGGTCGAATTTCGAGTAAAAGTACTATTTCTCGGAGCCGCGCTTTACATCATCTGTCGATTCAAAACAGTTTTTATCAGCAATCATGAGAATCGGAGACTGCAGGCATTTATAGCCTACATTAACTATCTGGTCACATTTGCAGACAACCTTCTTTAATGAATAGATTATAGCTGAGAGGGCAAAAATAGTACGCAATCAAGTGGCAAAATCTTTTGCAAAAAATTGCGATGTAGCTTAGACGTCTAATTTAGTATTTTTTCCCGTTCCTGACTGTAGCCAGATGACAGGATTTTTACGGGATTTCTAGAAGCCGCCATAAGAAAACAACCTTTCCAACGCAATATCTTGCGCCTTTTGTAACACTAGTCGAGTATGTGTGGGCTAACAAGATCTCGAAGAATTGATGTGTAGTTTTCGAGGGAGGAGGTCAAGAAGGGTCAAGTAGGTCTTACGGCTACGCTTACCATGAAGAAGTAAAACGCGCTAGAGACTTCATTGTTGTGTCATACGAACAAGCTTGGAAGCCGCTGTCATTTAAATATAAACAAAGTAATGCTTTCTTAGATTTCGAGCTCGTTCAACACGTTATAAAACGAGTGATATCTGCTGATGCAGATAAGGTTCTCCAGTCAAAAATTCTTTCCGAGGTTTTTGAAACTTTTATGAAAAACAGATTTTGTCACAAGATTCAACATGGTCGACAACCTGCGTTTTCATGCATGTTTGACAGTCTAAACCTAATAAAAGAAATCCTAAGGCTTCTGGAAAAATGTTCGTAGCGCCCAAACCAAACAAAGTCAAACTGTTGCTTGGATCTTATTTTGTAGAGAGCACTTAGAACTATCTATCTACGAAATAAAAACGATAGATTGCTATGTCGGCTTCTAGAAATCCGAACTAATTTTGTAAAAATCTTGTATAAATCTGCTCTTCCAAATTTTTTTGAAAGACGACGTTGTTTGTGAAAGTATATCTTAAATTGTTGTATTTTGCTTGCTGAAAACAGCAGGACTCTAGCCCATTTTGTTAAAAACTTATCAAAAGAATGAGCGATTGCACTAAATTTTGAAACAGATAGAAGAAAATTTAACATGTACGGTATTTTATATTATTCTACACATAACACAAGATGTGTAATTACATTTTTTAAAGATATACTTGACATGAGTAGACAAATCCAATGATTTTGTAAAATAAACACCCAAATGTTTATGTACATCGACGATGGAGAAAAAGAGAAGGAACACTGTTTGCTTTACCAAAAATCATGGCAACACATCTTTTCGGATTTATTGATCATTGTCCGAATTAGGCCAATTGTTAGTATTTCCAAGATCAGAATTTATGATGTTAGTTGCAGTTAAAGTATTATTGCTGCTGTGATAGACTGATGTGTCGTAGGCGAATAGTCTTGTGGTGTTCGAGAAGAAATATCATCAATAAACAGGAGGGATAGCAGGGGACTAGGAATGGAGCCCTGAGGAACGCCTCTATTTATTGGTAGTGGAGTGAAGTCCGTTTACCACACTGACACACCTTCGACCATTCATATTCTCTTTCTGCTGAATGGTTACCGTTGATTGAAAGATCCGATGTTGTTCTGTGTTTTTTCTTTTTTTCAGTCACTGGAATTTTTGTCCGTATTTTTCTACTAATTGAGGCAGTTTATTATTTTGCAATGTTTATTATTTTACAATTATTCTTTTTGGGTAGCAACTGTTCCTACACGAAAACAACAGAAACAGAAGAGTTGCTACCCAAAAAGAATAAGAACAAAAATTTTTCAAAAAGCTAGTAAGAAAATTAATAAAGAGGAGAAGGAAGACAGTACAATAGTCATCCCTTATAGACATTTGTTAACGGAAAAATTAAGAGCACATTTAGCTAAATTTAACATTAAATCTATATCACTTTAAATCGTAGCATAGGATCAATGCTTAATAAAGCAAAGAAAATCGCACAGAAAGATTGCGCTCCTGACCAAAAGAACGAATGTAAATGTGGTCAAGACAGTGTATATGGTGTACCATGTACATGTGGTGATATTTATGTCGGTGAGACTTGCTCGTTTAAAAGACGAATAAAAGAACATATGCGGAAAATTAAACAGAGGGATGTCAAAGGATCAGAGTTAGCACAACATGCAGAGAACCCCGGTTGTTTTGTTAATTTCGATGAAAGCGTTATCTTTGATAAAAAAAGCATTGGGCAAGAAGAAAGAAACTGGAAACGGTTTATACTATTGCCAATAAGAGTTATAATAAATGCAAAGGAATAAGTCCGCAGGAGAAGTCTACTATCAAGAAGTGGGTCCAATCCAGAACAGGGAAGAACTTTTTCCCGACAGTGGACAAACTAGTCGTTAATTCTGAAGAAATTATAAGTAATACTATCACTAATCAGACTACAACATATAGATATAATTATACGAGCTATAGTTTACGCGAACAAAAGAGGAAAAATTATAAAGAATGACTTAATAATATGTCTACTCGTTTACAACTCTCTTTCTAATATCATACGGCCTGACTTAATCTATCCTTCTAGGGTCACCCCAAGCGTCAAAAAAAATCTAGTGTCGCCCGATTCATCTAGATTACTAGATTTTTACTTAATTGCAACTACTGTGTAGCAACAGTGGAAATCTAGTGATCGGGCGATTACTAGATTTTTTCTAGTTGAAACTATCGATTTATCGCCCGATAATCGATCGATTTAACTATTGCTAGATGCACATGCAGATCCATCTAGTTAAAAGTCCCTTTTTCAACTAGTAATTTAGATCGCAACTAGTCGTGTATCACCCGATTATAGACGAAATGTATCTAGATTTTTCCCATAGATGATGTTTGCTTGGACTGCAAACATCAACACATGGCTTGGGACTGCCCATGTGGAAATTTTATCGACTTTTCACCCGTGAGGGACCGTGAAATGTCAACTTGGACTTTCACGAAATTTTGTAGGTAAAGACAGCAAGTTTCACGACAGTTTGATCGTGTTGTTGCAACATCACACGCGTGGCTACGCGTGAAAAATCTTCACACGTGTACACAAGTGAACAATCTTCACGCGTGATTACGTGTGAAAAAAT